AATAGCGAGAAATTTTTTTTTAACTTTTTTATATATGTTATAAGTTTTTTAATTTTTTTAATAATTTTTTAATTTTTAAACTAAAATTGTTGAATGTAAATCGATATCCTATAACACAAAAAGTAAGAAAAGTCAGGTCGATTTGTTTGGACCTTTTTTGTCCCATTCGGAAATCTTTTTCACAATAAGAGAGATTCTAAGGAAATCTTTTTTAGTTGTACCTAAGATAAAGCGGAAGGCGTTTTTGGCGTGGATCCATTCAACTCGTTTCGAGTTAAAAAATTTTAAAAAATATTAGTGGACTCGTTTTTAAGGGTTTTTTTTTGGGTTGTCAATTTGATCACCATGGTAGTTAGTTTACGATGTAGCTCGGTCGGCTCTTAACTAAATTAAAATTAAATTAAAATACAAAAATTAGATTATTTAATTTAAATAATAAAATTAAAATAAAATTTAATTCAAACTTAAAAAATTAGATTATTTAATTTATTTCAATTAATAATTCAGTTAACTTTATTATTGTATAAGATAACAATTAGAAAAAAAAATTAATTAATTTTGTCAAATAAAAAATTCTAACAATAGGACATTTGTAATTTTCTAAACCATAAAAGACAATTCGTATTTCAAACAAATCTCAAAGGGTGTATTTGTAATTTATCCTTTTTAATTATAGAGTGATTATTTGTATAGTTGTTATACTCTTAACTTTGGACTATTGTATCTTTAATTTTTGTATAATTAAATACTAGTCAGCTAAAAAAAATTCAAAATTACTTTAATTAAACTCATAACTAAAGTCATAATAAAAAGCCCATAATTATTTCATTCAATCTCATTTTAATCAACCAAATACAACATAAGAGGTCATAAAAAAATATTATAAACAAAATAAAATGATATATGAATAGGTTTATTCCACTATATATTTATTTCATCAAACAATTATTACTTTAAAATTAAAAAATTAAATTTTAATAAAAAGTTAAAAAAATTAGCAACTTGTCAGTACAATGCAGGGCCTCCGTACCTAGTATGTATATATATATATATATATGAGAGGGTAATTTTTGTAAAAATTGGGCCGAGCTGGGAGATGGTCATTATGGCCCACAATACGACAGGCTGAGTAAAATGGCCGTAAAGTTACTCCGGCCCAAGAGAGGTACAAAATTACTCCGGCCCGAGATAAATGTGATGTTACTCCGGTCTGGAACAACTTGGAGTTAGGCCGGTCTCAGAGTTAGCCCGGTCATGGCGTATTGTGGTTAAAACGGTCAGAAACTTGCTACTCGGTAGCTCGGTCTAAACGTACCATGGTTCGTGCATGAGAGAACCGAGATAAGGTGTAGCAAAAGGAAGAACCGAACTAAGGATAGACCGGCCTATTCTGTGGCTCAGCATAGCCATGATTACTTCGGTCATGTTGGAGTTCGGCCATGGTAAAAACCATCTCACTTGGTTTACACAGTGAGGGGGGTGTTGAAGGATAAGCATTATCTTTCAGGAGTATGAATCCTAGGAGGACTCTGCATGGAGGAGTAGAAGTTCTACTAGGGTTATGCCACACGAAACTTATAAAAGTTCACACACATCACCTTTGGAGAGGTAACACACAACTTTGCTTTTTGAATTTTTTAGACATACTTAACTCAGATGTATATAAAAAGTAAAAATTTTGTGAAGAAAATCTTTTAAAAATTCACTACATATCCAAAATATAAAAAAAATATGAGAATTCAGTACATTTTTTATATTTTATGTATTTATTAATTTTTTAAAATACTTTTTTGCAAATTTTTTATTTTTTAGATATATCTAATTAAGGTGCATCTAAAAAGTAAAAAAAATATTTAAAATTTTAAAAATATTCACTAAAAACAAAAAAATACGAAAACTAAAAAACTTAGGCCTTGTTTTGTTTGTATTTGAAAAACATGTTTTGAGATAAAAAGTACGAAAATTTGTTTGGTTTGGTTTTTTTCAAAAGATGCTTTAAAAAATTATTTTGAGAGAGAGTTTTGAAAAAAGTGATTGATTTGATGTGTATGAGAGGGATTTGTTTGGAAAATTTGTAAACCAAACAAGTTTTGGAAAAAAAATTTAGAAAAATTTGTTTAGTTTGATTACTTTTGAAAACTTATTTGTAGAGAATTTTTTCCAAATTTTTTTAAGAAACACAAAGCAAACAAGACCTTAATTTTTTAAAAATTGAACTCAAAAAACTTAAACCAAACACACTAATTACTGTTTAACTCAAAAAATTCAAACCAAACACACTAATTATTGTTCTCGTCTTTTAAGGGGTTTTTTTTTTTTGGGTTGTCAATTCGATCACCATGGAAGTTAGTTTACGATGTAGCTCGGTCGGCTCTTAACTAAATTAAAATTAAATTTAAAATACAAAAACTAAATTATTTAATTTAAATAATAAAATTTAATTCAAATTTAAAAATATATATATAACTAAACTTATTTATTTATATCTATATTTAGGATTTATTTGAAATGATCTAAATAAATATATTTTTAACATGCATTCGAAGTTTGTGCGGTCTTATAGACTTATTTCAAAATTGGATTTGATAATTCGAACTGTTCACATTTTAGAATATATTAAGTAAAATATATTTATAAAAATTAAATTAATCGGATATTGTTAATCTTTTCATCTACTCACATTTATATCTATAAAAATAAATGATATTATAATTTAAAATATTAAAATAAATATAAATATAAATAAATAAAAAAATTAACGATATCTGATTAATTTAATTTTTTATAAGTAAATATATTATACTTAATATATTCTAAAATAAAAACAGTTCAAGCAATTAAATCAAATTTCAAAATAAACTCATAAAATCACACAATAATACTTGCGGCGCAGGGTGGACAGCAGGCATACCAGATTCGTTTGGATCTGGGTGCACAGCGTAGTTCTATCTCTGCAACTACTGCTACTTAGGGATCTGGGATGCACAACATGGTTCTATCTCTGCAACTACTACTATTTAAAGGAAATCATAAAAAAAGGAAAAAAAATAAAAAAATTGAAGGTTGTGATGACATCAAGGCAAACCATCAAACCATCCAGCCCAACATGTTGGGACCATGGTTCACTGTGCCCTCCCCTCAATTTTAGATTTTTTTTCTTAATTTTAATTTTAATTTTAATTTTTTTACACATATATATATATATAAGTAAAATGATTAATAAATAAAAAATTTATATAAAAATAATATTAGAATGATATCTTAATGATATTTTTTAAATTATAAAAATAAATATGATTATTTTGATTTAAAATGAAGGGATCATAACAAGTCACATAATTTTTTTGTCCATCAATAATAATTACAAGTATGAGAAATATTTTTTATCAGTAAATAGACTTTTAGTTCATAATAATTAGAAAATAAACAAAGTTTAACATAACTAGTATACCAAACCCACCAAGTCTAAGCCCAACAACGAAATAAATCATCACCACAAAAAGTATTAAACTTTTCTCCATAGGAATTGAATTCAAGACTTTACACCATAAAAAGTGTTACACAATCACTATTAAACTTTTCTCCATAGGAATTGAATTCAAGACTTTACACCATAAAAAGTGTTACATAATCACTGCACCAATGTCCTGATTAAGAGGTCACATAATTACGTATAGAAATTTCGTAAAAAAAATTCAATGCAACAACAATACCACATTATCACTGATACACAAGATATAAAAGTTGCTAGATTGATAATCACATTTAACGAGTGAGGTTCACCTTCAAGGTGTTGATTTACTACTGTTTAGTGATGCTACATGTCAATGAAAACTTGATAGTATTGTTATATTGAATTTTTCTCAAATTTTGTACCCAAAAAAAAAATTATATGTATATTATTATATAATAAAACTTATATATATATATATATATATATATATATTTTGTATTACCATAAATTTAGTTACAAATTATTATTTTATTGTTATTGATTATTGACAAACAATTTCAAAGTTGTAATTAATAGGTGTTCCATTTGAATTAATTTCCTAGCGCCACTGCTATTAATTGTCAGGTGTTTTCCGAGTCTATTATTTGGCATTATTTATGTGATGGTTCAAATTAATGACATAGTGAAAAGATTTTGATTCAAGTAATTGACTGATAAGAGATAATCCACTTAGAAAAATCTTACAATTAAGTTACACTATTATTGTACGCATTCATACTCAATTAACAAATACTTTACTTATAAAATTAAATCTTACAACTCTTTTTTTTTTTTTTTTTTAATTGAGTTGCTAAATTGGATCTACAATCCATTGAGTAGAGGGAAGCCACAAATCCTTAGTCTTCGTTTGTTTTCCATTGTAAGACTTCGGAGTGGACTTCTAGTGAAAAACTTTCCCTTTTCCAGCATACTGTAACCTCACTTTTTGATATTTTCATTTTTAATTGTGATAATTAACTTTTTACAATTTTAAGTTAAGTTGTAATTTTACTTTTCTATCCATCTACCATTAATAAAGTTGGAAAAACTTATTATGTGAATCAAACGTGACATTTTTATTTCAACTTCATTAACACTTTTATGTTTTCATCAAAATCTCATTTTAGACATTAAGTAAAATCTCACTAAGGTCACTGTCACTTTCAAATTTTCGTCAACCTCATTAACATTAAACAATTGAAGAATGACATTGCAACTTAATTTAAAATATAAAGAGAGAATTGTCAAAATTGAAAGTGAAGCGATCGAAAAAAGATTATAGTGAAAGTGTAGGGATGCTAAGTGAGAAATTACATGTGTGGTTTTAATTACAAATTTATGGAAAAAAAATGTATAATTTTATATTTTAATATTTATAAAATTTATCGCTAATTTAAAAATATTTTCTAAACATTGACATTTTCCTCTTTTTTTTTTCAAATTTATTAATTAATGATCAGGGTGTGTACATAGCGTAGAGTTTTCCTATATATACATGCCTTTCGCTAACTTGTAACTAGAACAAAGGAAATCACAAAAAAAGAAAAAAAAAAATGAAGGTTGTGGTGACATCAAGGCAAACCATCAAACCATCCAGCCCAACACCCCAACACCTTTGCCAATTGAAGCTTTCATTTCTTGATCAAATACAACAACCACACTTTGTTCCTTTTATCTACTTCTATGCATCATCCAATTCCGGGCTTAACAAAGCCACAAATGATAGAAGAAGAAGTGAGAAACTAAAGAAGTCTCTTTCTGAGACACTATCATGGTTCTACCCACTAGCTGGTCGTGTTAAAGACAATCTCTTTTTTGATTGCAACGATCAGGGTGTCCCTTTCTTTGAAGCCCAAGTCCAATCTAGTCTCGACCATGTTGTTGGGCAAAGCAATTCCGACTCCCAACTCAATTACTTGTTTCCATATCCTGATTTTGATGATGCTGGGGATCTACTTTTAGCTGTCCAACTCAACTTCTTCGACTGCGGTGGCATGGCTATTGGTGAGGACCTGTTTTGTATCATTTATAAGTTGACTTTTATTATGATAATTGCTTTTTTTTTTTAAAGATTATTAACTTCGAAAAAGTCTAACATAAATTGTGTGGGATAACTTTTAATGATTTATGAAAAAAAAAAAATTAAACATGTTTGATGCAATAAGCTGTTATATAACTTTTTCTTTTTTGTTGTGTAAATATGTAGAATAATCTCGAAAATTATAATTACGACAAAAGATATAGCATTTTTTTTTATGTCCATGCATATTTGAGAGTCCCAAAAAATTGTAAAAACTAGAAATTGTAGTTTAAAAAAATCTCACTTTTTTGAGAGGCCCAGTAAGTTAATTCAAAATTGTAATCAAACAGCATTAGTTTGTTTTCAAACAAATGTTAAATAAGCTAACTTAGCCTATTTTGGAAAGTATCTTTTTTTTTAACTTATTGTCTTATTATGAAAAAAGTGTAAAAATAAAAAAAAAAATATAATCTAAATAAGTTAATAATAACAAATTTTTTTTTTTTTTTTTTTTTTTTTTTTTGTGCCTTCTCTCAAAAATGCTACAGGCCCAGAATACTTTTGGATTAAAGAATCCAGTTTAGCCCGTTTTGAGTTTTTTTTTTTTTTTTAGATAATAGCCCGTTTTGGGTTTAGTAAGGCAAAAATTGCCAATCAATCTGAGACCCCAAAAAAAAAAAAGAAAAGAAAAATGGTTCATTTGATTACATGTCTTTAAAAATAATTGATGTTTGGACTGTGTAGCTCATAGTACTACTATTTAAATCACGTCGTTTTTTTTTAACCAACTATCCCATTTTTTCCAGACAAGTTAGAAATACTAAAAACTAAACAATCTAGATCAACAAAGCAAATCCGAAATGTGCTAAATTGGATCTACAATCCATTGAGTAGAGGGAAGCCACAAATCCTTAGTCTTCGTTTGTTTTCCATTGTAAGACTTCGGAGTGGACTTCTAGTGAAAAACAATAACAATAGTATCATATTTATTTTGCAAAGTGAACGCCGAATTTGTAGTCTGAAACGGACTATGAAAAACCTTGGTGAGTGGATTACTAGTCCGGATTGGGAGATAGTATTAAAAATAGTCTGTTTGGCTTAGGATGTTACCGATCGTCCGGAACGATGTTTGGCAGGTCAACTGGCCAAGTGCAATTTTATTTTTTTAATATTTTTTTTCCATGTTAAGCAGCACATTTTGAACATTAATGTTTAATGTTTTTGTATTTTTTGTTAAGTAAAAACCATGATTTTATTTATTTTATATAAAAATAATTTAACAATCTCCACACTAACAAGTATCATCAAAGCAAATACAATTTTACTTAATTCTCTTACTAACAATCCCCTCATTATAAATTTTCTCCAATCTTCTTCTAAAAACAAACGGGACTTTATTGTCAATATTTTATTATTACGGTAAATGCAATAGTGTAATAGTTAATTTTTTAGATAAATTATAGGCGCCTTCTTGAGATTCGTACCATTACACTAGTCTCTCCTCTTTTTTAAAAAAAATTACACTGACCTCCCCTATGATTAATCACGTTAATAGAATGGTTAGTTTAGTAATTTTAATATTCAAAGATATTTTTGTTGATAATCATTGAATGTGCAATTTGTTTGGGGGGGAGGGGAGACTAGTCTAATTGTCAAAAATTTCAAAAGAAGTGAGTGTAATTTATCTTAATTTTTTTGATCCGCATTGTTTAATAGTTATGATGGTTGTGAACTTTACACAAATAGAGATTTTTTGAGATGCACTAAAAAAATATGCTTATTTATATTTTTATTTTTTTAAGTCATATTATTTCTTTAATTTTTTATATATCTTTTTATAAAAAATTAATAAATATATTTATTTAAATCATTTCAAATAACCCATCAGTAATTGGGGAGGATCAAATTTCCTCCCTATTTCTTAGAACATAGGCTTGATGATAGCCTTTGAACTCTCAACTTTCACTTTCTGTGTCAAATTTCCAAATAATCTCTCGGTAGTTGGTGTTTGGTAAGTGTTTTATTTTTTTGTTTATTTATTTATTTATTTATTTTTTTGCTAAAAAAACACTAAAAGACAAAATTTGTTAGAAAAGTAAAAAAAAAAAAAAAAAATTAGACAAAATGTCACATTAAACCCATAATTATTTTATTTTTTCTTTCACAAACATCACATTCAACCATAAAAAACTTAACTATCTTTTCAAACATAAAAATTTTAATCTCTTAAAATAATCAAAAACTAAAAAAACTTATTAAAATAATAACTTTCCAAACACCCAAAGTCAAGTAGATGCAAAAATCCTATGTAGGAAAAAAGAACTTCAATACAATAGTTTATTACACTACCACATCATCGGTGTAACGCTAACCATGAAAGCCGCAATAATTGTTGTATCACAGTTAATTTGGAAAGTCTATAAACAAAAATAAAAACAAAACATAAATATATCTACAATTTTAATTTGATGGTGTAACTTTAATCTTTTTTTTGTTGTGGATCCACTCTATAAATAAATCTTAGCCTTATATTTTACACTCTTGGCAAATTTTCTGGGTTTTTATTTTTGGATTTGTGGCCCCAGTCATCACCATATAAGTAAATATTCAACAAACACATGGAATGTTATGATAGTGCACTTTACCCTCATCCAAACCGTAATTTTACAAGAATGATTTAATAATATCATTTTTTAAATAAACTCATTTTCTTCTTCTTTTTGGATCCGTAAAAGCCAATTTTTAAATTAACATCTATAAGAGTTAGTTTTTCCATCCTGCCTCCAAATTCAACTCTCTCATGGGAAGAATTGAATCTATAACCTCTTGTTTGGGATTAAACTCTTAAGAGAATCATCTTCACAAGTATTTTGTTTAAAAATAAAAAGTACATATTAAATCATATCATTCCGTATTTGCATTTATATATCATTACTCATTTCTAAATAAAAGAATAAACGACACATATAAAGTAAAGTTTTGGCCTTCATTTTTTCATACATGAATAGTAGTCACTACAAGAAATCAGTTTTTTAGGGACAAATTTATTTCATCTCTAAAAATGTAATATTAGTTGGGAAAAACTTTAGCCAACTAATTTTGCCTGTCACAAAGTTTGTCTCAAATGGTCCGTCTGGAAAAGTCAAAAATTGACTTTTAGAGACAAAAATGTGAAGTTGCAAAAAGTTCTGATTTTGAGACAATCAAAATTTGTCTCTAAATGCCTATTACACCCTACGACAGACAGAGTATTTATGGAGACAAAAATTTAATTTTTGAGACAATCCAAATTGGTCTCTAAAAGTTTTAGTTTTTGTTTTTGAGACAAGTGGAACTTGAGTCTAAAAGTTTTAGTTTTCCAGACAACTAAAAGTGGTCTCAAAAGTTATAATGTTTTTTCAAACAATTAAAATTGGTCTTTAAAAGTTTGATAACATACTTTTTTCTTTTTTGCTTTTTGATTTTGTAACAATTACTCTTAAAATACTAGTTTGAACAGAAACTTATATTCCTTACTTGATTTCTCAACAACCGAACAGAGAATATTAAACATATCACCAGACCATCTGTTTATCTCCAAATGAAAATTCAACAACACACACACACACACACACACAAAAACACCATGTTCATCGCATTCAAAGAGGGTTAATCAAAAGATATTTCAATGACAAAGAAATACCATGCTCTGATTCATTAATACGTAGTATTTGATTGTATATCATAAATTGATAGAGACTTCAAAAGTATCATTTTTAATTTATAAGGCTAGTGCCATAAGCATTGTTTGTAGCATTCAACTATTCAATGAATAGATTGTAAATTGTAATTATATCTACCTACAAAACAGAACAACTCATCCATCACATCTTTTTCTCAAGTACCTCATTGAAATGCCATTTATGAGCTTATGGATACGAATATTTTGCTTTAAAATTAACCTAGCTCTCTTCAATGGCGATTCAAGTATATGATTAATCAGTATTGTTTTCCCTCTTTCAGTCTTTTAGCTCCAGATCTTTTAGCTTCGAAGAATCAAGCTAAGATATGATCAATACGATCGATCGAGATTTAAGAATGAGAGAGAGAGAGAGAGAGAGAGAGAGAGGTGTGGTGAATGAAATGAAATCTCGACTATTGAAGCTCAAACAATGAAAATAAAATAAAATAATGTACGAGTTAGTTTATTGGGGACCAATTAAAGTTGTTGGTAAAAGTTACTAACCTTTTTGCAACCCAATAGCTTTGTCTTTAAAATATAGTAGTATGATTAAATATATTTTTTAAAAAAAATTCTTTCATTTTGTCTTTAAAAGTATAATTTTTACAGACAAATTATTTTTGTCTCTAAAAATTTGCCTCTCAAATTTTAATTTCTTATAGTGAGTAAATAAATCCAAGTACTTCTTTAATCTTCTTCTTCTTCTTCTTCTTTTTTTCCAACAGGATTATGTACTTCACACAAGATAGCAGATGCATTATCAATAGTTATGTTTATGAAATTCTGGGCAACTGTTAGTCGTGGAGATCATAGCAATTTGGTTTATCCCCAATTCGGTTCAGCCAACATCTTTCCCCCTACACTTAATCCCAATACCAATCACCACAAGCACGGCGTTGGCACTACAAAAAACAAGATCAGTGCAAAGAGTTTCGTGTTTAGCGACTCCGCCATCTGTACTCTTAAAGCCAAATACAGCCCCACCACCACCACAGCCACTACTGTCACTGCCAACAACAAAACCATACATAATAATCCAACTCGTGTTGAGGCACTTTCTACTTTTATATGGTGTAGATATAAGGCCGCCACTCGAGGAGAGATGGCATGTGGAGAAGGAATTGGATACCCTGTGATTCAAGGGGTGAACTTGCGCACAAGACTCAATCCACCTTTACCTAATTCATATTATGGTAACCTTAGTCGATTTGCCATAGCAATATTAGCACCACCAGCATTGGAAAAAGGCGCTATAGGAGAGGATCGTGGTAGCTTGGTCACTCAGATGAGAGATGGGATAAGAAAAGTTAACATCGATTATGTAAGGAAACTCCAAGAGGGTGGTGGAGGTATGGGGGGCTTGAATTCCAAGAATGAGGAGGGTGGTAATAAAGGAGGAGAAAAAGGAGGAGGAGGAGGAGATGCAGTGTTTACTCTTGTGTTTTCGAGCATAGCTAGGTTTCCCCTATACAAAACTGATTTTGGATGGGGTAGGCCTGTATGGGTGACATTTGGTGTAGTAAATCTTGATAATGTGGTTGTTTTCTTTCCTACTAAATCGGGTGACGGCATAGAAGCATTGATTTGTATGAATAAGGGCGATTTGGCAAAACTTGAAACTGATAAAGAGTTCCTCTCCTTTGTTTCCAATCCTAAATTTCCACTTCTTAGCTCCTTATAAATTTTGTGTAATTTCTTACTGTTACATGATGTTGAGAATATAATATAAATAATAAAGTTGTGCTACTCTCTAATAGAGCATAACATCTCAGTTTAGTTGTGACGGTGTTTTTTTTTTTTTTTATATGTCTTTCTCTCTCTTTTTGTAATGTTTTATTATCATTAATAAAATATATCTATTTTTTCCTAAATAAAAAAAAATGTTCAATCTTAGTTTTCATATTTACTTTTATTGGGTATGATTCAAAGTTCGGTGTTTAACTAAGGGTGCAACTCGGGCTAGTTCGGTCGGGTTGGGAGGTTGTTCAAGCCCTGTCATGACTCGCTCCCCGTACCCAAGGGTTAAGTATCGTGATGGTCAGTAATTAAGGTTACCTCCAACCAATTCTTAAACAAATTAATAAACGCGAGCGGAAATAATATTCAAGTGAGGGTACCAAAATAATCATTGGAGTTTCTATTTTTATTACAAAATTTATTGACCAAAAAAGTCGATATTTACATATAAAAATATCATAAAAGTGTTGTATGTGTCTATTCCGCAGCCCGCTTCTAAGATTTCCCAAAAGTTATTTCTGAATTGCATTGTTTCCTAAAAATTGGTAAACAACTATAAGCACATGGCAAAGTTAGAAATATTATACCAAGAGTATAAAGGGCACAAAATAACCATAGATAATTATATAACTGAAATATTTAAAATAACTTACTCTGAACAAATGATCTTTTAAGCAGCAAAACTGAGCTTATGTAAATAAATAACCATAACCACGGTACCGAACAGAACAGAACAGAACAGAGGTCACAGGAGTGACAGTCAGAACAGAGGTACGGATTATAGAGGTGGCTTGTATGGATTATAGAGGTGGCTCCCACAATAGTGTTGCACTTATCTCCACACAGCACTTTGCTCCACACCAGAAATCATAGGGTCAATGGATCCATGACAACAGAGGGCCAGAAAGTGATCAAACAAAGGCCAATAGTTATTTAAGTTCTCCAATACATGGGACTCCCGTGGTGGTACTTACAAAACATAATTATTTATAAGGTTATAGTCAAATATTTTTTAAAATATAAACAAACATATCCATGGATTTCATTTTAACAAATAGAGTTCAGAAATTAATCCACATAACTAAAATATATATAAAACATAACTTATATTAATACAACTAATAAGATACAACTTGTATAAAATAAATTATGGTAAGTCAAAACATACGTAAAATATATTATGGTGACTCATGGTATAATATAACTCACCTTAAAAGTGATACATTACTCTTTCTTTCCACTACCAAAAATCCTTTCGACTTCCATTATTTTCTTTCCCTTCTCTTCCTTTCTTTTTTTTCCTTTCTTTCCTTTCTTTCTTTCCCTTTCTTCTTTCTATCCAGGTGAATCACCTCCTCCCCATAGGAAGTAAGCACGTCCGCTGGCCAACACGTGGCAGCGTGTATCTTCCTCTGATTCGATAATAAATTATATAGATTTATACTTATCTTTAATAAATATTTAAGATAATTACACTTTGACTCAGTTTTCTAATATAACTATATAAGTAAATTAATCCCTAATTAAATTACACTCTATCGTATACTAACAGAAAATTAATTATTTATTTTACTACCACGCCCATTATTATTATTATTATTATTATCAATATTATTATTTATTTACTCTTACTTTTATATTTATTTATTTACTATCTTTAACTTTAATTTGGCCCAACCACCCTTATAATTCCACATTTCTGTTAATTTGGTCCTAAATAATAATCTCTAATTAATCTCATATTGATAATTCAATACCGAATTAGATTATGTATTTATTATTATTTATTTAATAATATATTATCACATACAACCATAATACTAGTATAAAATTTAAAGGACAACTTAAATTTTCGGGTTGTTATAAGCCCAACTCAAGTTGTGTAGAGACCTGTCTAGGTCCGCCTAGGCCCGAATTGCTCGAGTTGATTGAATTGCCCAAATTGTAAATGAATTTTTTATTTTTTTTTGCAGCTTCATTATTAAATTATTAAAATTTGACTCTATTTAAATTTTTTTTAATAGAAAATCATTAATACCATCAAAACAAATAATTTATATAAGGTAAGAGAAATGCCACTATAGTAGTCGTTATAATTTATGAGTGAAAAAAAAAGAAGAAAAAAAGTAAGATTTTATGTTATTTGTATATATAATATATATACTCAATATGATTTAACAATCTAAATTATTTTAATATCATGTAATGATTAACAATTAATATGTATATTTAATATTTTTATATATCCATATATGTATAATTCGGGATTCGGGTTGCTGAGGTTATTTGACGTCTTTGCCCAAGCCCGCCCAAATTTAATTCAGGCTTCTGAATTTTTCTTCAAACCCGTACCGAATTTGAAAATATCTTGTCCAAACCCTAAAAAAATTCGTGTTGAGTTTGAATTGCTCGGGTTAAACCCACCCAAATTGCACCCCTATATTTAACATGAACATTGATAATATTGAGAAATAAACAAGCTATGCTTTTGTTCAATTAAAATTCTAGACAAATCGTAAAAGAGAAATGAAGAACATGCATATTTCGAATCTCATTTACATTTTTTTTTCATTGTTCAAATAATTAAATATCCCCCACACATTTTGTTTTTGTTTTCCTTTTTTTTTTAAAGAGTATACCTGGTTTTAGAATTTTGAATTTACTTTTTAGAAAATTGAAATTTTCGCTTTTACTAATTTTTTTAATATTTAACTAAATTTATTAATTTTTAGATACACCTAACATAAACACACACTTAAAAAGTATAATATTTGTAAAAAAAAAAATTCTTTAAAAAATTTACTAAATACTAAAAATACAAAATAAAATAAAAATTCAGTATATTTTTGTATTCTTGTGTAATTATTAATTTTTTCAAATATTTTTTATAAATATTTTACTTTTTAGGTATATCTAAGTTAAGTCAATATAAAAAGTAAAAAATTACTTAAATCATTAAAAATAATTCTGTAAAAATAAAAATAAAATATGAAAAAATAAAAATAAAAAAACTCAATTTAAAAAAAATTAAATTTAAAAATTGTAACCAAATAAAATGATACAATTTGCCCTAAAATGTTAGTTTGTGAACCGAATAAAAAGTTGCTTTAGTTTGCAAAGAAGAGAATTGAGTCCTTCTTTGACTTTCACAAGTCAAATTTGTCACGTTTTTTTATTTATTTTGAACGTTATGTAGTTGTTTCACAATTTGCAGATAGTTTGATAGGCGGAATTTTTTATGATAATCAATTAAGGTTGAATTTGAAATTTTTAAAGAATGGGAAAGCCTATCTCATAGAATTGCAAATGTTTATAAAATAAATTTTAAATTAGTGATAAAATTGATCAATTTTAATAATTAAAATGATAAATTTCTACACAACTTTATATATATATATATATATATATATTGTCTTCCAACTGATTTGCAAATTCACCTAAAATTTATATTGGAGTGCCTTTTATCCTTAGACACTCTTAAAAATGAGAAATTATTTAATACTCCCGAAACACCATGTGGCCATACTCTGCCATGTGGCACAAGGGCCCACAAATAGATGGACACTACATGTCATATAAGCAAGGTGGACAATGCGAAATTAGTGTACTTAAAATGTGTTTTTAGTATGTATCACATCCTTACTTTCTCGTACCACGATAAGCTATTATGCTTTTCACAATTAACAATAATTACTCACACAACTAATAACATTTTAATATAGTCAAGAGCTTGATGGAGAGAAACCAGCACGGAGGAGTGAAGTTTCAAGGATCAGCAAGTAGGGATGGAGGAGGTTGGATACCAGTCTTTAATCAGAAGCATAGGAGGAGTAGGGGCTACCTGAGCTCACAAACAATCCTTGTGGATAATCTTCCAGAGTCCATGGATCTGAAAGGGCTATATACCTTATTCACAAAGTTTGGTGCGGTCAAGGATGTGTTCATTCTATCCAAAAGAAGAAAAGAAACAAGATCCAGGTTTGGGTTCGGCCGTTACGACTGTCCAGTTGTAGCAAAGGCTGTTATCCAGAAGGCAAATAGAGTTTGGTACGGAAACAGATCTCTTGTAGTGAAGACTGCTGAGTTCGAAAGAAAGCAGAATGGTGTAATTCAAAATACAGATAACGCAAAGTTGCAAGTAAAAGGTAATGTTGGGGTTGGGGATTGGGTGAATAGAAGACCATCCTTTGCAGAAGTGGTGAGAGGTGGACAGCAACATAGAGACCCTGACAAAGTAGTTATAGCTGAGGATTATGGTAATGGCTGGCTTCACCAAAGTGTTATAGTTACTCTTAAGAAACACTGTCATTTTACAGACTTCAAAAAAAAAAGTGTGTTAAAAGAGATCTGCAGAATGCACAAGTTCAAGAAGGTGGAGGCAGAGTAGTAGTTCTGTCTTTCGAATCAATTGAGGCATTAAGGAATCGGAGGGAGGTACTTGGGGACTAGACTGATGAATGGTGTGAAACGATGCTAGAATGAAGGAATGGACTTATTTTAGATCAAGAGAGGGAGGTATGGCTTCGATGCTATGGCATACCTCTTAATCTTTGGAATAACACAAACTTCAGAAAAATTGGGGAATTATGGGGAGAGGTGTTAGAGGTTGAAGTGAACACCATGTCTATGACAACCTAGGCTTGTGGTAAACTAAGAATATTGACGAAGAACATGTAGATAATTAATTAGAGTATCAAGTTGATTAATAAAGGTACTATAAGCACAGTTAGGGTGATTGAAAAGCTTTGTTCACGCCAGGAACAACATAAGGAGGATAACTCATCAAATTACCAGTTCAGTGTAGCAGAGAAAGAAGATGGGAAGGGTGAAGAGGATGATGATGTGGATGAATCAGAGGCTGAAGTGGCAGGCAATGATGATGTGGCTTATGATTAATGAGGTGGAAACAACATGGCACGGGAGGGCAACAACAGTAATTTAGCTGCTGTATCAGTAGTTAATGACACATGCATTGTTGCAGAAGAACCAAGAAAAGTTGGTGCTGGTGTGGGAAATGAAGAAGGCGTACCTAGGGTAAT